CAAGCTAATGTGTTGTTCACAGGCCTATTCCCAGCGTCCATTCCCCGGTGTATCTGTCGAAAAGCGTGCCGTTTGACCGATTGCGGGTGGGTGGGTGCGGCGGACACTCGAGAGCTGAAGGTATTTGTGAAGTGTGGTAACTGTGTGACATACGCTGTTACACGAACGTTGTCGAGTGGGTGACAAGTTGATGGTGTTTGTCCGCCGGTCAGCGATATTTGTACCGTACGTCACTCGCGATCGGCGGCCGGGTTCGAGTACATATGTCCGCTCGTCGGCCGGTTATCTCTCGCCCGGCCGGCTGTGCGTCTCCCGGGTTAGTGTGTCCACTCGTCGGTCCACTGTGCGTCTCCCGGCCCGCTGTGCGTCTCCCGGGCTAGTGTGTCCGCTCGTCGGCCGGTTTTCTGTCTCCCGGCCGGTTATCTCTCTCCCGGTTCACTGTGCGTCTCCCGGGTTAGTGTGTCCGCTGGCCGGCCGGCTGTCTGTCTCCCGGGTTAGTGTGTCCGCTGGTCGGCCGGCTGTCTGTCCCCCGACCGGCTGTACGTGACCGGTGGGCCGGCAGCGGTGCCGCCGGCAGCTCCAGCCGGCCGGGATGCTACTGCCGTCAGCCGGTGACCGCCGCTGGGCCCGGCTGTGGGTGATGCTGCCGGCCGCCCGCCCGACTTGGCCCGCCGCCCGGCTCCCGGGGCGGTATGCGCACCGATACTGCAGCAGGGTGGCACGGGCCGGCCGGGCGCCGGGTACGGCCGTGTGTAAATAATGCACCACCGCCCGGCCGCCCGCCGGGACCCGTGGGAGGATGCCGGGGCGCCGGCGGCGGGTGAAGTGCGATGTGGTAGTGGTCCCTGGTTCGCTGTTAACATTTCTCCTGCCCTGGCCGTATTATGCGTGATGTGTCTGCGATATGCGTGCCGTGTGCGTTACCGACTGGTTTGCCGTGTGCGTTACTGACTGGCTTTAACTGGATAGTTACGCTCGTCAGCTTAGATGGTTGTTTTTGTCAGTCCACTGTCAGACACTTGAGATTTTGACTGCAGCTTTTGCCGTCCTCTTTGATGCCCCACTGGCGACCAATGATAATATAATCACTGCTCGGGTAAGGTGACCTCTGACTCCAGCCAGCCCCCTGACGTCTGCTGTGTTCCCACCGGCAGCCGATCAACAACGCCGACTTTATCGTGCCGGTGGAGATAGACGGCACCGTGCACCAGGTGTACGTGCTGAAGCGGCCGCACGTCGACGACTTCCTGCAGAAGATCGGACAGATGTTCGAGTGTGTCCTCTTCACCGCCAGTCTGGCCAAGGTCGGTCGGTGCGAGCCCGCCCGCGGCTGGTGGGGGGGGGGGGGGAAGGTGCACCCGCCGTGGGTGAGGGAGCTCGGTGGTCGCCAGGGACCCGCCTCTGCCCAGCAGTGCCGGCCGGGCCGACCGCCGGCCCCTGTTGAGCCTTGGCAGCAGGCGCGGCGATGGGTCAAAGTTTCGGCGGCGTTCCGTCGAGGGTTCTGATGCAACGGTCTGTCTCTGGGCCGAACTCGAGCATGATGAACCAGGCTGGTCCCTCTGACATGTTTGGGATAATATTTATCCCGGCTGGTGATAACATTTATCACTGCCGAGTGCTCAACAAGATGTGCTCAGTAGTTCCTGAACATGGTGGTATTTAGGTCCTCGCTTATTCACCTTAACGTAAGTCAGGAAAGCTTTATGGTATAGTGCTGTACATGTTGTGATGTTGTAATGTTGTGGGTCGGTAGTCCTTTTCTCGTGCCTTTCTCTGAGCAGCTGCGTTGTGAATGCGCCATTCTCGTAATGAATGACGTTAAGCTAGTGCATTTTATTTGGCACATCGTAACCTGGCAAGTAGCTTGAGCTCTGCGAAGTGTGCTGATACAATAGCCTACTGCCGATCACGCGGGAATGGACGTGTCCTGACCTGACCTGACCTGTGTGTGTGAACAGTACGCGGACCCGGTGGCCGACCTGCTCGACAAGTGGGGCGTTTTGACCCGACCTGACCTGACCTGACCTGTGTTTTAGTACGCGGACCCGGTGGCCGACCTGCTCGACAAGTGGGGCGTGTTGACCTGACCTGACCTGTGTGTGTGTACAGTACGCGGACCCGGTGGCCGACCTGCTCGACAAGTGGGGCGTGTTGACCTGACCTGACCTGTGTGTGTGTACAGTACGCGGACCCGGTGGCCGACCTGCTCGACAAGTGGGGCGTTTTGACCCGACCTGACCTGACCTGACCTGACCTGTGTGTGTGTGCAGTACGCGGACCCGGTGGCCGACCTGTTGGACAAGTGGGGCGTGTTGACCTGACCTCTCTGTGTATTACGCGGACCCGGTGGACGACCTACTCGACAAGTGGGGCGTTTTGACCCGACCTGACCTGACCTGACCTGCGTGTGTACAGTACGCGGACCCGGTGGCCGACCTGCTCGACAAGTGGGGCGTGTTGACCTGACCTGACCTGACCTGACCTGTGTTTTAGTACGCGGACCCGGTGGCCGACCTGCTCGATAAGTGGGGCGTGTTGACCTGACCTGACCTGACCTGTGTGTGTGTATAGTACGCGGACCCGGTGGCCGACCTGCTCGACAAGTGGGGCGTGTTGACCTGACCTGACCTGTGTTTTAGTACGCGGACCCGGTGGCCGACCTGCTCGACAAGTGGGGCGTGTTGACCTGACCTGACCTACCTCTCTGTTTTTTAGTACGCTGACCCGGTGGCCGACCTGCTCGACAAGTGGGGCGTGTTGACCTGACCTGACCTGACCTCTCTATGTTTTAGTACGCGGATCCGGTGGCCGACCTGCTCGACAAGTGGGGCGTGTTCCGGGCACGGCTGTTCCGCGAGTCGTGCGTCTTCTACCGCGGCAACTACGTCAAGGACCTGGAGCGCCTGGGCCGCGACCTGCACCGGGTGGCCATTGTGGACAACTCGCCGGCCTCCTACATCTTCCACCCGGACAACGCGGTACGTGGCGGGCAGTGGCGCCGGGCCGATCACTGCGGCCAGGCGGGCCGCTGACTTAGCGATCCGCGCTAAATGAACGCATTTTTCATTGTTTTTCTGTAGGTTTGTCCTGGTGTTTCCTGTGAACGATTCTGCTTGCGGGTTTAGTACGTATTTAAATCTAACATTACCTCTGGTAGCTCTCTCCTCGTCTCACATTTAAACATCGGAATCCTGCACCTAACTCGCTGTCTCCTTTCCTTTTCCTGCGATAGGTGTGATCCCGATTCCTCGCCCTAGGCGTGGAATCCCTACCCGCGCGCCCGGGACGCTGGGGAGCTGCTGGCGGCTCTCGAGCTCCGTCGCTCCCGGAGCCTGTGTCGCCGGTCCTGGATACAGAGTGTCAGACACAGGCCCGCCCACGGAGTGTCCCGGGACCCGCCCACGGAGCCTGCGTGTGGGCCCGGTCCCGCATCCTGCGTCCTCCATCCCGGCCGTCCGGCGTGGCTGCCTGCCTGCCGGCCCGCCGCAATGTCTTCCTGCCCTCGTCTCAGACAGAGACGAGTCAATGGTGAGAGCTCCTTATTATCCCACGGCGCCTAAATGGCATTTGGGGAGACTTGAAATATTTTTATTCATTGTAATTATGACATACGAGAACAATTTTAGGTTTTATGCATCGCACAATATTTACGCGATTTTGGTTATAAGATCTCTATGGGTCTTGTATTTCACTATAAAACAATGTAACCTCAATTTGATCAGATTTCCGGTGTCCCCCTGTTGTGTGTTTTCGTCGTGTGCGTGTCTGTGTGTTGTTTTTTTTTTCGCCGCCCGGCCTACCGTGGGCTGCCCGCCGCCGAGCCGTGCGCCGTGCGCTGGCCGCTGGTGGTGGTGACCCGGGCGCCGGCTGTGCGGTGGCGCTGGCTGTGCGGTGGCGCTGGCCGCAGGTGGTGACCCTGACCCGACCCGCTGGTACCCACAGGTGGCCTGCAAGTCGTGGTTTGACGACATGAGCGACACGGAGCTGCTGGACCGGCTGCCGCTGCTGGAGGCGCTCAGCCGCGCCGACGACGTGTACTCGGTGCTGGGCAGAGAGCACTCGCCGTCGCCGTCACTGGGCAGCCCCGGCCCGGGCCCGGGACCCGGTCCGGGGCCGGGGCCGGGACCCGGGCCAGGGCCCGGCCTGCAGCCCTCCTAGTCGGACGGCGCCCGGACGCGCCCCCAGACTGTGCCATGGCGGCGAGAGTGCGCGCGCCGCGCCGTGCTGCGCCGCCGCCGTGCCTTAGCGCGCCGCCCGCGCCGGCGGCCGCCCCCGCCCACTACGGGTTCGTGGCCCGCGCGCCGCCCAGATCGCCCGGCAGCTCGGGCGACGAGCAATGTTTTTAGTGCGAATGTGATACACACACACTGTTGTACCTAATTGAGCGCGACAGACTGGAGGAACTATCTGAGGGGCGGCCGAGGGCCGAGCTCGTGCCAACGCGGCCCCGCCGGCCGCATTTATACGCTGGACTGTGAGTGCGAGTATGTGCGCGTGTGTCGCTGTGGCCACTAACTGTGATGGCGGCGGGCCGAGATGAGGAGGAGACGACGGTCGGAGCGGCGCCGGCCGAACGCCGGCTCCATCCATACACCACTGAATACTCGTCCCACCCGGCCGCCCGCCCGCCCGCCCCAGGCACGCCTGTTATATCAGCTGAAAATTTTATTCACCCTGTTGTCGTTGGAGGATTTTGTACGAGCGCGCGCGCCGCCGCCGTTGTTGCTGCTGCTGCCGCCGAGGGTGGCCGGCCGGGCCGCCCGCTGACAGGGCGCCGGCCGGCCGGCCGACTGAGAATCTGTGTTTGATATAGACTTGTTACTGACCGTGGAATAGTAGCGTTACACAGCCGTTTTAGGTGGGCGCGCGCTGCCCGGGCCGCGCCGCCGCTGTGCTGGCCACCGGCCAACCGAGTGGCGCTGTTTGACCATTCTGTGACACCCCGTTTGTAGACTATTGAACTATGAGCTGATCTGTGAGAGCGAGAGAGAGAGCAGGCACTCGGTGACCTGACTGTGGCCTTCCATTGTAAATATATCCCATCAGGAGTACAAGCTCGGCTGGTTACTGGCGGCTCGCGAGCCGGTGGCCGCACGGCTGGCTCTGCGGCTGCTGCTGGCTGGGCGCGGTATGCTGGCCGCACGGCTGGCTCTGCGGCTGCTGCTGGATGGGCGCGGCATGGTGGCCACACGGCTGGCTCTGCGGCTGCTGCTGGATGGGCGCGGTATGCTGGCCGCACGGCTGGCTCTGCGGCTGCTGGCTCGGGGGCCGGTGGGCGCACGGCTGACTCTGCGCCGGCTGCGTCTGAAGGTCACACTGCTGGTCGCCGCCGTTGGCGGCCGGTGGGGTGGGACACGGCAGGCGGTCGTCCGGGGGCGTCGGCCTTAGGAAGTCGGCGCCGCAGCCGGGGTCGGTCCGCGGCAGCCGTTTGCCGTCTGTCTCCAGCGCCGACTCGGCGAACCGCAGCTTCCTCTCGCCGTCCAGAGATGGCGGCACAGTGGCCAGCTGGTCGGTGCCGCGGCAGGGCCTGCTCTCGGCCACTGCCCTGACCTCCTCCAGGCCGGCGGCGCACAGACGTCCGTCAGGCGCCGGCTCGGCGGGCCGCTGCTGGGCCGGCTTGGCAGGCCGCTGCTGGGCCGGCTTGGCAGGCCGCTGCTGGGCCGGCCCGGCCGGCGCGGGGCAGCAGCTGCGGTTGGCCTCGTCCAGGACGTCCAGTACGCTGGGGTCGGGCGGGTGGGCCCGGCGCGCGGCGGCGTAGAGCGCCTGGAACTGGCGGTAGTCGCAGACGCCCATGCCGCACAGCAGCTCCATCAGGAACGCCTCGCTGCGCGGCTGCAATACGGGCAGAGGGGGAGTGACGAGTCATACATCGCAGCCCGGCCTGGTAGTCTAGACGAGCTAGCAGTCGGAGGCAGGCCAGGGGGCCAGTACACAGGAAACGGGCCACCGGGGCAGCGCGAACTATGATAAAATGTAGACCCTCTCGCCGCTGATAAGAACTATGCCTTCGGTCCTTCATCATCAGTTTTACTACACACGTTATCACTACCCTGCACTCATCAGTCAGCCTCCCTCTCGCCGCAGTCACCCCGACCAACGCCACCAGTCAGTCCTCACCAGTCAGCCCCTCTCATCAGTCAGACCCTCCCACCATTCAGCCACTCCCACCAGTCAGCTCCTCTCACCATGGCTAGTCCCTTCTCACCGCCCCCGCTTCTAACCATGGTGAGCTCCGTCTCGCGCAGGCCGGCCTCGATGAACGGTGACGGGGTGACCACGTCGACGACCCTGTCGCGTCTCGGGCCGGCGGCGTTCTCCGGCGGCTCGCCGGGTCCGGAGCTGCGCCTCCGCTCCACGGTCCAGTCGGGGGGCGGCGGCGGCAGCTGGCAGCTGGTGCTGGTGCGACACTCGGCCACCGGCCGCGGCTCCTTCCGCAACACTGCCGGAGGTGGGGCCGCCGGCCGGTCACAGAGAGGGTGCACAGGGCCGTTCACCGAGCCAGTTCCTGCCTGAGCTCCTCTCCCTCCCCGTCCCCTCACTGGCCACTCACGGTCGAGGTGTCCGAGCGTGAGCCGGTCCTTCCAGTTGAGTGTGGCCACCAACAGTGAGTAGATGACCAGCCGGCGCGGTCCCTCGGCCAGGTTTAGCCGCTCGACCAGCGCGCGCAGCTCGGCAGTGGCCAGCGGCAGGCACTGCTGACAGCAGGCGGCCAGCACCGCCTCCAGCGGCAGACGCTTGGTGCCCAGCTGGCAGCCGCACCGAGCGGGCAGGGACGGTCAGGGACGACAGTCACTGGGGCGGACAGAGCACGGAACACGGCAAGAATACAGCCCACAGAGGGGCACGGAGCACGGTGCGATGCGTTACACAGTAATACAGAACACGGTGTGACAACCTCAGTGGAGTACGTTTTAATCGGTTGGTGACCTCAACCGTACCGCCGCGCCCACCTACCCCACCTTGTCCATTTTCTTCATGGTCTGCAGCAGTGCGATGAAGCCGGTGAAGCCGGCGGCCTGCAACTTGCGGCGCGTGACCAGGATCAGGTCGAGCCGCGCCAGGTCCTCGGCGGGCAGACTGCAGCTCGTCCGAGCCGTGGCGATGTCCAGCGCCCCCGAGAGCACGTGACGCATCGGCGCGCCGTAGGTGAACGTCGCCGGCAGGTCACGTGTGCACTGGTACCTGGCGAGAACGCTCCCGGGTGAACAACGTTCTGACTAGGCATAAATACTGCATCGATTGTTATCGTATGCCGCCGTGTTGCCTAGTTGTACACATTTTTATCGCTAGATGGCAGTACTAGCACGCGCCTGAAGGTATGCTGCACCGCACTAACCACCCGCGTTAGTTCTATTCCTATCGCTAGATGGCAATACCGGCGTGCGCCTGAAGGTATGCTGCACCGCACTAATCCTATTCCTATCGCTAGATGGCAGCAGTGGTGTGCGCCTGAAGGTATGCTGCACCGCACTAGTTCTATTCCTATCGCTAGATGACAGCAGTGGCGTACGCCTGAAAGTATGCTGTACCGGACTAGTTCTATTCCTATCGCTAGATGACAGCAGTGGCGTACGCCTGAAAGTATGCTGTACCGCACCAGTTCTATTTCTATCGCTAGATGGCAGCAGTGGTGTGCGCCTGGAAGTATGCTGTACCGCACAGCGAGCTGGTTCTATTTCTATCGCTAGATGGCAGCAGCGATGTGCGCCTGAAAGTATGCTGTACCGCACAACGCGCTGGTTCTATTTCTATCGGTAGATGGCAGCAGTGGTGTGCGCCTGGAAGTATGCTGTACCGCACAGCGCGCTGGTTCTATTTCTATCGCTAGATGGCAGCAGTGGTGTGCGCCTGGAAGTATGCTGTACCGCACAGCGCGCTGGTTCTATTTCTATCGCTAGATGGCAGCAGTGGTGTGCGCCTGGAAGTACGCTGTACCGCACAGCGCGCTGGTTCTATTTCTATCGCTAGATGGCAGCAGTGGTGTGCGCCTGGAAGTACGCTGTACCGCACAGCGCGCTGGTTCTATTTCTATCGCTAGATGGCAGCAGCGGTGTGCGCCTGAAAGTATGCTGTACCGCACAGTTTACTCGTTTTCGAGGTGCGACGTGCAATTAGGCATGGCGGCAAGTCACAGGAGCATTTCTGATGGTAAGATATCAATTCACTGACTGAGAAGTGTCATTGAGAACGAAACTGTCGTAGCGGTGACAATGTCAAGTGATTTCAAGTCCCAGTCCCAAAGCATTAAGTTGCCATAGTGTGGGAGGAAAGTGCATGCTGTCGTCACGGTGCAGCATCGAACAGAAAAAATACGTAATTTGGCTAAAAATATGGATTTACAACAAAAAAAGTAGGCACCCACCATGACTCAGGCTAATTTTTTTCTGCATTCACTCCTGCAGCTCCCGTAGTCCCCCTAGTGCGTGCGCCGACTGAGCCGACTGAGCCGGCTGAAGCCGGGTTCACACGGGCCACTGACTACCGGGTCGGCCTTACCTGTCGAGCGGCTGTCCGACGCGGTCCTGGTGGAGCTCGCGCCAGCTCTCGGCCCGCCAGCTGCAGACGGCGCTCAGCGGTTTGGACGGACCCGGCCAGGTGACACACTCCTTCACTCGGCGACCCGTGTGGTTCTCCTCGTTGTAGGTGGGTACGCCGAACTTGGCCTTGGTGTTGAACCCCTGGCCGTAACTGCCGGCCACCCGGGTACCCGGGAGAGTCAGTGAAGGGACTCTGACTTCTGACCTTAGTGAATAGCCGTATCGTCAGTCCCGCCACTCCCAGGTATAGTCCCCCACATGTATCCGCTGTCAGTGTCATGTCGGTCGGTGTCGACCGGTGTCGGTCGGTGCCGGTCATTGCCGGACGGAGCAGTCGGTGTCGGTCGGTGTCGGTATCGGTCGGTATCGGTCGGTGTCGGTCGGTGTTGGTGTCGGTCGGTATCGGTATCGGTCGGTATCGGTATCGGTCGGTGCCGGTCAGTGTCGGAGGGAGTTGTCGGTCGGTGTAGGTTATTTCGGTCAGTATTGGTCGGTGTCAGTCGGTGTCTCTCCACGGACTGACCTGCGGTGCGTCTGTTCGCCGGGGTTGGTGTGCCGGTGGGAGCGCCGGTACAGGTCGGTGCCCTTACACCAGTTGGCCTGGAACTCCTGGGCCGTTCGGTAGGGACTGACACACTGGGCCACCGTGTCGCCTGTCCGACAGCACACACCAGTGACTCACACTTCACAGCCCTGTGTATCAATCACTTCCATATCACAGCGGCGACAGTCCCCACAGTTCCCCACCTGTCGTCACCGGCTCCCCGCTCCCAGCCAGGTGTGCTCGGTGAGTTCTCACCATACTTGGTGGGCAGGCCGAAGGTGGCGGCGCCGGCGCAGGCCAGGTGGGGCGGCACGGCCGGCTGGCGGAGCGGCGCGCAGCCCACCGGCCGGCGCAGTGTCGAGTCGTAGGTGAGACGGCGCGCGGCCGCCAGCAGCCGGTGGGGACGGGCCACCACCGGAGGGTTCACCACGTCACCGGCCTGACAGGAGGCGGGGCGGGTCACAGAGGCACAGGACGGGCCACCACCGGAGGGTTCACCACGTCACCGGCCTGACCGGGGGCGGCAGGGCGGGTCACAGAGGCACAGGACGGGCCACTGCCGGAGGGTTCACCACGTCACCGGCCTGACCGCGGGCGGGACAGGCCACAGGACAGGTCACTGAACACTGTGAACAGGGCAGGTCTCAGGACAGGGAACAGAACAGGGCACCACCGGAGGGCTCACCACGTCACCGGCCTGACCGCGGGCGGGACAGGCCACAGGACAGGTCACATTACGGATCACAGGGTCACAGGACAGGTCACAGGAAGGACCACAGGGTCACAGGATAGGTCATAGGGTGGGCCACCAGGGCAAGATATAGGAGAAACAGGTTCTTGTTCAGGAATATGTCGGCTTTTGTAACTGCTGTGCAGTAAGAGAGCCTCAGACACTGAATAAAGTTAAAAGTACTTGAAGACGTAACATAGGTATATGTTACGCCTTCATTCATTACATATGGTCGATGATGATTTTTTTTCAACATATCTTCTATAATTGCAATGTGGAATATAATGTGCGTTTATGCCCATGAATCATCAATGGATTACCTATCATTTTCGAATTTACGACGTGCTACGTTTCTGCAGTATGATTCAGAACAATGTACCGAACGTTGGACGGAGCGAATTACAAACAGCACTGGCGTTATAATGGGATCAAGAGCGTGTGACTACTCGAGCACATACCAGAGACTTGGTGCCGAACTTTGTGCCGTGAACTTGGTTGGGCTTGTCGTTGGGGTCGTCGGCCACTCCCCAGTGGTAGGTCTTGGCTCCGGGGTCGGCGTAGTGGGCCCTGCGGAACTTGCGCACCGAGTCGGGGGTCGGGGGCCCTCTCGGCGGGTGCAGTAGCTCACCCACCAGGTCCGAGTGGATGGCATGGTACAGCTGCCGGCCAAACAACGAACGGTAGATTACTGGATTCGGTGCCAATAAATAGCTATCAACTCCTTTTGTAGAAGTGACGACGTTCTAAGACATTTCAAGCGTTTCAGAACAATATTGAAATATTCAAGAGTCTGAGCAAATATAACCTATGTATGCCGGTTAGCTAATACAGGGCGCATTCTGTGTTATCTACCTTTGGTATAGGTACTGGACTGGTTAACAATCTACAGTCCTTCCTATCTGGGCAGGGAGACTTACGTTTGTATCAGCCTGATTGTAATGCGATGTATCTGATGTCATGGTAAAAGACCGCGCCGTTTCTTCTTGGCTTCTTCCAATACGTCGTTCATGTTCGCAGCTTCATGTCGGTTCTAAGCTGTTTCTGAATTAATAAGCGATCGATTTTATTTACGTAATGATAAAAGCATGTTGACGTCGGGTCTATCGTTTAATCAAAGTTGGTAGGCAGCTTGTGACTCAGAAACTCAGAAATTTCGTAAAACGTCTTCCAGCGAAAATAACACCTTTTGATTAGATGTTAACAGATTGCACGTGCGCATTGCTGCTGTTGTCTCTCGAATATCTATCCGCAACGGTGAGCACTATCGCACGCACATACGTTCCTGAACTGAATTGAATCAACTATTTCATGTATGTGTTACGGGTCATATGCTAACTTGGGCAGTATGCAAACTACCCGGGCAGTATGCAAACTACCCAACAGCCCGGGCAGTATGCATACCGCCCGGGTAGTATGCATACTACCCGACCCCTTGGGCAGTATGCATACCGCCCGGGAAGTTTGCATACTGCCCGGGTAGTATGCATACTACCCACTTTTCAGCTCACGGGCAAGATGTTTACTCGGGCAATATGCTGACCGTGGCTCGTGAGACTAGTTAAAGCAAAAGCTCGCATATACATGTCAATGACAGACGCTTTCACCCGCGCTGGGGCGGTGCTCGGCGCCAGCCGTGCCGGGCTGGGGGGAGGGGGGATTAAACACTTCTGCTCGGCTCCTGTGCCACTTAGCGGCACAGGAGTAAGCGGCATGTAAGATGCGGTAACCGGCATTCGAAATTGCGTAAAAAAATCATGACGAACTTACTCTAGTCATTTTTTTTTAGGTCAGAGGCCAATTCTACCAACATAAAAATAGACGCCTGCTGCAATTTTTCGCCTCAAAACGGCTTCACATACGGAGCGTTTACGGTAAAGCCCTATCCGCTTATCCCATCGCGTTTATGTTACGTATGTGAAGCGGTCTTCAGGCAAAAAAAAAAAAAACCGGCAGACGGCTATTTTTCTGTTGGTAAAACTGGCCTCAGGTCAAAGAATAGGGCACCAAAGGTCATCAAATGTTAAATTTCGCCTTTTTCATTTTTTTTTACAAAATTGCCCATAAATCAGTGTATTCGATAGCTCTTTTAGAGGTTTCTGGAATAAGCACTCAAAGTTGATCTAAGCTCAAAATTTGACCTGAGGTCAAGGTCACCAGTTTTACCAACAGAAAAATAACCGCCTGCCGGAATTTTTTGTCCAAAGACCGCTTCACATACGTAACCGCGATGGCCACAGCGGATAGGGCTTAACCGTTAATGCTCATATGTGAAGCGGTCTTTAGCCAAAAAATTCCGACCGGCGGCTATTTTTCTGTTGGTAAAACTGGCCTCTGACCTGGTAACCTGACCATGATAATTTGTGACGTCTTACATGTAAATGGTTTCCGATGCAACATTAGCTATTGAAACTATATTAACGCCCTCTACAGATCCAGGTGCCAAACCAAATCGAGTGATGACACTATAGATCTGTCGTCATTTCAGATGAAAATGGCTTGTTGGCCGCTGGCTAATTAACAATAAAATTCTGGGAAAATAATTTTAAGTCTTTATATTTCAATCCTTACTCCACCCTTCAATCGATAAATCACGTTTGACGGCAAAAAGACTTCGCGGTTGAACTACGTTACTTAGGTAGTCATTAATATTTTGAAAATGGACATGGAATACACAACTTTAATACAAGAAGCGGGCAGTATGCAAACTGCCCAAGCTTTTGGGCGGTATGCATACTGCCCAAGGGGTCGGGTAGTATGCATACTACCCGGGTGGTATGCATACTGCCCGGGCTGTTTGGTAGTTTGCATACTGCCCAAGTTAGCATATGGCCCGTAACATATGTATAGCTCAAGTCAGTTAGCTACATTACTTGGCATAATTCCCTGTGACTGTTAAGCGCTGATCCAACATTTGACTTAGCTCTTGGACCGGAATTAAAGGTTAATCGTTAAAGAAACGTTCCACAAGAGATGTCGCTCGCTGCCAGCAAGAGCTTCTCCTAGTCCTACCTCAGCTTGGCGTAGAATATGATGCTTATTGCTTTCAATGAGAAAATATTGTGTCGACAACAACAGATTCACCACGTATCTCTATCTATGTACCTCAGTGCTATATGTATAAAATGAAGCTGTTACATGACCTACAGGCATTGTTTTGTACGTACGTGAAGTGCTCAAATACCATGCACCGTTCATTGTGAAACACTGACTACACCGTCGTATTTACTTGACGTATTAAACGGTCAATAATTGAAATTACTACTCAACTGGAAGATTATCTAAAACTCGAGATCCAAGTTTCCACTGGTCCCTTCACTAAATTTGTTATTTATTTATTCTATTTATTTCTGCATATTACCATACACCATGTTTTCGAAAAACGAATAAGCATTTTGCTGAGAAAATATATATATTTCGAACCGTGCAAACGTTCAGTATCATATGAGCTCATAACAAAATAACCGTCATGTTGGATGTGCTGTATACAGTGTAAACGTGCGGCGGCTGTACGTACGTGATGCAAAAACAGGCATTCCGTATGAACACTGTATCGCTGTGTATCTTTTACGCTACGCCACTTTCACATCGCGTAAAACTGGCATACCGATGGCGATTTTCTATTCTAGATTTGCTAAGTGACCGACGAGGGTAGGCCATTGTAGACTGGTGAGGCGCAGCTCCGAGGAAAGCAGCGCAAACGTAAATAAGCAAGCATCATGCAGCTCCAAGAATGATGGAATTAAAGGCTTTGCTATTGGCGTCGCGTTTGACTTGACTTCATGTCGTGATTATTTCAAAAATGTGTACAAGTAAAAACGAAGATGCAATGCCTACAGGTTACACTACACTGAGTATACACTGAACCAACAGAGCTGCTCACAATGTCAAAAACATCACAAACCAAGCAGCTGAACAAGCGTGAAAATAAACTGCTTGAAACACCTCCTGAATATGTAACAAAAACACCATATCCGAAGGTAAACTGGCACAACGCTTCAGCTATTGCCTAGCGCAGATAGCTGTCTTACTATCATTTCCTACATATGATGTACGATTGGAAACTTTCCGAATAAAGTGTATTTTCGGAAAATTTCACGGTACCGCTAGACTTCAAAAGTTTTCAACGAGCCTGAGAATATGCTGGAGCAGACCGCCTCTGGTCTCGGTGGGCTGCCGGACGATGCGGAGGAGTCGGGGCCGTTCCGGCTCTACCGTCCTCTCCCGGAAGGTGAGCCTCTGGCGGTCGCCACCAGGTGTCACTGCGCTGAGCGGCCGCCGCCGGGAGGGGTGTGCGGCGCGCAGACTCGGTGGGGCCGCCGCCGCGCGGCCGTCCACGCAGCTTGTCTGGTTGTAGAGCGTCACGCGGTCCTGGCCGGATTTGATGAGCACCGGGGCGGCGGCCGAGGGGCAGAAGGTCTGGCCCGCGTCGTCATCGCTGAAATGTGACGCAGACGTCAGCCGCGAAACAAGCACCGGCAGTTCTAGCAGAGCTCGAACGATCTCGCTGTCCTCAGAATCGACACATCCGCATGAAAGGTGACGGGATCGGCTCAGCCACTGCCACACACCAGGCGGTCGGCTCAGCCTCATGTCTAGACCTAGTCCCGCTTCCTGAAATCCTAACCTTTTTAAACCGAAAGAGACTCAAAAACTATCGCGTAAGAGTTAATCCCATATTTTGGATTCAGATTAAGACAGTTGCAGCCGGCGCCCCTCCCTACTGTCCGCCAGAGGCCGTCCCGCCATTTGCCGCGTCTGACTGACCCGTCCGGCAGGTCCATGTCGAGAAGAGTCACATGCGACACGGCCAGACTGGTGTCGGGACACCACAGCAGGCAGGGCATCTGCAGCAGTGAGCCGCGCTGGCGGTCCCACGAGAGCTGCACGCGGTGCACGGGCCCCAGCGCCACCGTCGTCTGCACCAGAAAACTGTATGTCTGGCCGTGCTTGAGAGTCAGCGAGTCCCTGCCGTGGAAAGTGGATGCTGCGGTTAGATCTAGCACAAACGACAATAGTTGACAATCAGATGGCGTGATCAATTTTACCGATCCTTGTTTTGCGTGTTGCCCATTCAGTGCCTGCGAAATGGCGATGTTTGCGACAGTATGATTATCCAAGGATGCTTTGAGAAGAATGCAACGTTTGTATTTTGTAACATGCATATAAAGTAGTTATTTTCTCACTTTTTCGGCAGTCGGTACCTCTCCAGTCGGCCCTTGGGGCCGTACATGGAGATCACCAGGTGCCCTTTGACCTCGCGCTGATCATTGTCCGGGTCACCAAGCTGAATGTTGATCCGATAGTGCCGCACTGAAACCAGAACATGACGAATAACGTACGAAACTATAGGGCATGTAACATCTGAAATAGAAAACGTGACATTCTCGACATGTGAAGCCAAAACAAGACACTGGTAAATGACGAAACTAAACTCAGAGATTTGTTGTGCATTGGCCTGTCATTCCTGTTGTCGTCTCTACTGTTTCGTAAGGTCTCATACTTCCAGCTTCACTGATGGGAGAACTGCTGTCGTTAAATACGTTGTCAACTCTCAGCAGTGTGACTTACAGCAGTATGGAGCTCTCGAGGACGTCGTTAGATAAAACGGCACCAGCGTTTTGTTCTTGTAGATGTATTTGTCGGCGTGATATCCCATTGAGGCACAACGTTCGCTGTTCTTGCCACAGGTGCTACATTTCCCCTGAAAAGGAAACGGTCTCATTTTGATCAATATCACTATGTATAGAAGCACAATTATTTGTACATGGCGATCGCAGCAGCAATGCATGAAATATCAAACACAATTTCGTCGTCGAGCTTCACAATGGAATGCCCACCCAGACCCAGGTTAAGCACTCACCTACATCTATCTCAATCCCAATTCATCCCTGGCCTATCAATGCCCGCAAGATCATCTCCTAGTGAACAGGGTGACATCGCTGATCCTCCCTCACCTTCATGAAGTCGCCGAAGTCCTTGCACTCGTGGCTGACGAACGAGCACTCTGGCTTCTGGACGATGCTGTCGGTGAAGATGCGCACGGCCCGAATGTGCCGGCAGGCGAGCAGCTCGCTCTCGAAGTCGTCCAGACTGCCCTCCAGGAAGGCGGCCAGCGTGTGCGTGTAAGAGTTGCATCCCGGCTGGTCTTTGCCGCCGT